CTGATTTTGGCAAAGTTTGAGTACCTACCGCAATTAAACAAAAGGCGGTAGAATCTTCCAAGTACACCCAGAAAAAGGTTTAGTTATAATAACCAAGATTTGGTTATAGTGATCAAGTGGCATAGTTGGATATGGCGAAATAAATATATAGTTCACGAAAGTCTGCAATTTACTTAAGACTTCTAGTTGGGACAAATGTATATTTGTTAATAATTACAAAACGACTACCTTGATTGGACAATATTGTTAGTTGAATAAAATCATTGTTGAGCAAATATAAACAATGCTTTGGTTGATACAAGATTTTAATTAATTTTGTGAACTTGCCGTAGACTTGAATTAGCTAACCGTTTATTATTGGGAAAAAAGTTTCAGTTTGACACAAATAAAAATTTACTCGATGTTTGTTGTGTTTACTTTCTTCTTTTATTTGCATATATTAAGCATAAAAATACGTACATATTTACATAAGTTAGTTACTAAAGTAAATAATACATATGTATATGGTGGTAAGAATTTCCTAAAAAACAACGATGAAACAGGAACAGTCGTGCGAAAACCCAGGTCAATATCTGCTGGAAGTATACTGCTTTGCTTTTTCCTTAGCTAAATAGACACTTTCAAATTATAATTCACATGAATTATATATCCACTGAAAAACCCCGGTTGGCATCAAACTTTATATTTTTAATTAAACTTTAAACTATGCGCGCACCGAAACAACCCGCGATGATAGCAAAACTGAAACTGTGACAAACAAGTATGGGCATGTCATAGCACACATGGCGCAGCGATCGACATGCCATAGCTTACTGAGCGCTCTGGGACCACATGCGTGTTTCACCCATATACGAACAGCGGTAGCGGAGCAATGATTTCCACGCACAATGCAATGGTCGGCATACTAGCGCATTCAAACGATTCAATAAGTGGGACTGTGTGCATTGCTCAGCTGGCGCTCTTCGTATGTGCTCAGAGAGCGCTCAGCATTCTTTAGGGGTGGCTCACAAGCATGAATATGTTCCACTCTCAAACCAAATCGTGGTTGCCTCAACTAAGATTTGGTAACTATGACTAAACCACGTGTTGAAAGAAAGCTTATCTGCATTAGCAGAGCTTAATAACATCCTTTTATGAACCATACGTTAAGTTGAATGGAATTTGTAGAAATATGCTTCAAAGAAATATTTATTAGTATTAACCAAACCCTTCAACTAAATTAACGATTTGTTACAACCTAGATTAATATTAGAAGCTTTAATATATTTAGTTATAATAACCAATCGATGGTAATAGTTCCCAATCCTTGGTAACAGTTCCCAAATATTGTCAAAATTCGGGAACTAAATATCTTTAGTTGTCGAAACTAATCCTTTTTCTCAGTGTAGGCTTAAATTAAGGCTTGAACTTTCGACTACAATTTCCAAAAATACCATCCCAGAAGGTCAACGTTCTAAGGTCACTTATAGTAATTTATCTATTGAACAGCAAAAACTGATTTTGGCACAATTTTTGACATAGAATACGTCTTACGTTTCGATATGGAGGCTATGCTGAAATGTTGTAGTTGTAATTTTTAGAGCTTTACCAATACGCTTATTGAACAAGAACTAATGAAGCGATTTGGAAGAAAAGTGTGGCGTTTCAAAGATATAATTCCAAACCTATCGACAGATTCATTTTTGTAAGTAACCAATTCGGTTTCTATCGTAGAAACAACGGTAAATATTGGCTTATTTTAGGGTAAATTTTGCGCCTTTAAAGTGTTCTAGCAATTTACGATTTGTAGATCAAACTTTAATTTTCGGGATATAAGTTCTTTGAAGTAATAGTAATATTATCGTATACAAATTTTAAATAAATTCAACCAATATTGAGCATTTTAAAGCAAAAAAGTGTTGAAAAAATTTGCATTTCTTTATTACCAAAATGCTCGAAAACCGCTCAAATTATTTTGTTTTTGTTTTCTTTAACCAAAAATTCAGGTATTTTCCTTTCGTTTGGTATATGGGAAGTATTGGTTGATATCTTCTAAGTATGTTTATTTTATTCAAATATATGGGCATAAATGACTTCGGCATCATTTTGCAAACACGTGCATGCTCTGAAAGTGAGGGAAGACAAAAAGTATGTATGTGTAGGTATTTCGGCTTTTGACTAACAGAAGGCGCAATATTTATAGCCAAATCGCAGCGTATGTATGTAAATACATACATACGTACCTATGTTGATTGCAGTTAATGTGGATCTGATTCTCTTTTAGTAATCTATGTATATATGATAAACATGAAAGCAAAAACAAAGATAAATATAAAGAAAAATACAAGGTGAGGATACCGATAAAAGTAAAGATGAAGATAGAGGAAGAAAGATTAAAATAAAGGTAATTATAGAGAAAATGATATGGACAGAGACTCAATCTGGGGACTATTTCGGGATTTTAGAGATTTTCAGAGTTCTCGGGACTTAGCGATACACTGAGAAAAAGGATTAGTTTCGACAACTAAAGATATTTAGTTCCCGAATTTTGACAATATTTGGGAACTGTGACCAAGGATTGGGAACTATTACCATGGGTTGGTAATTATAACTAAATATATTAAAGCTTCTAATATTCATCTAGGTTGTACCAAATCGTTAATTTAGTTGAAGGGTTTGGTAAATACTAATAAATATTTTTTTGAAGCATATTTCTACAAATTCCATTCAACTTAAAGTATGGTTCATAAAAGGATGCCATTAAGCTCTGCTAATACAGATAAGCTTTCTTTCAACACATGGATTAGTCATAGTTACCAGATCTTAGTTGATCGTTTTGGTTTGAGAGCGGAATATATTCATGCTTATGAGCACCCCCTAAATAATGATCAGCGCTCTCTGAGCTCATGTGTGTTTCGCATACGAAGAGCGCCAGCTAAGCAATGCACACAGTCCCACTTATTGAATCGTTTGAATGCGCTAGTATGCCGACTATTGCATAAAAACGATTCAATGAATGAGACTGGGTGCGTGGAAATCATTGCTCCGCTACCGCTGTTCGTATACGGGTGAAACACGCGTGTGGTTACAGAGCGCTCAGTAAGCTATGGCATGTCGATCACTGCGCTGGGTAGAGAAAAAAAAGTGTGTGCTATGACATGCCCAGGCTTGTTTGTCTCAGTTTCAGTTTTGCCATCGCCGCGAGTTGTTTCGGTGCGGGTATGGTTATTTAAAAATATAAAGTTTGATGCCAACCGGCGTTTCTCAGTGGATATATAATTCATGTGAATTATAATTAGAAAGTATCTATTTAGCCAAGGAAACAGCAAAGCAGTATACTTAAACCAGCACTTCCAGCAGATATTGACCTGGGTTTTCGCACGACTATTCCTGTTTAATCGTTTCTTTTTAGGAAATTCTTACCACCATATACATATGTATTATTTACACTAGTAACTATTTATGTAAATATGTTTGTATTTTTTATGCTTAATATATGCAAATAAAAGAAGTAAACACAACAACCATCGAGTAAATTTTTATTTGTGTCAAACTGAAACTTTTTTTTCCAATAATAAACGGTTAGCTGATTCACGTCTACAGCAAGTTCATAAAATTAATTGAAAACTTGAATCAACCAAAGCATTGTTTATATTTGCTCTACAATGATTTTATTCAACTAACAATATTGTCCACTCAAGGTAGTCGTTTTGTAATTATTAACAAATATACATTTGTCCCAACTAGAAGGCTCAAGTAAATCGCAGACTTTCGTGAACTAGATATTTATTTCGCCATATCCAACTATGCCACTTGGTCACTATAACGAAATCGTGGTTATAATAACTAAACCTTTTTCTGAGTGTATAATAATCGGTATTTTATCGGTTTTGTTATCGACATTTTTATCGATTTTGTTATCGAAGTTTCTATCGATATTGTTATTGATTTTGCTATCGTATTTTCGGAACTTATCGATATAATAAACGATATTTTTTATCGATTTTGCTATCGATATTTTAAGATTTTTTAAACGATTTTTTATAGATTTTGTAATCGATATTTTTATCGATTTTGCTATCGATGTTATTATCGATTTTGTTATCGACGTTTTTATCGATTTTGATATAGATATTATTATCGCTTTTGTTATCGATATTTTTTTCTTAGTGTGTGCTTTCGTTTTTGACTTGGATGTGCTCTTACCCATACCGCGTATTCAACGTTTAAATTTAGCGGCTGTGTCTTCGATACAGCCTGCAGGCCAAGACAAAAACGCTGGACTGTTCCATGTTTCCATAACACAATTTTCGAGTTTTGTTTATTACTCAATAAATGAGTATTGTTTATTGCTCAATAAATGAGTATAAGTGATCATCAGATGAAGTAGCAGTGATAGTACTCTTAGGGAAAATAGTCGAGAGTTCTAGCTTTAATTTAAGGCTAAGTGAAGGTTCTATCGCCTTTTTCTTCTTGGCTAGAGCATCTCAAATATTGCGAAAACGGCAATTTTTTGAAAATTTGATCTTATTGTTCTCAAAATCTGAAGCTGATGGAAACTTGATACTTACGGATTCGTAATCCTCAGAAAAAAGTTTATCAAGTTTAACATTTGCCGCACCTTATCAGTTTTAATATTTGCCGCGACAAAATCGTGTTGTTTTTATTATTAATTAATATTTTGATTTTACAATTAAGGGTCTGTGCCAGCAGGACTGTATTAAGAATGTGGGCGCCCGGGCCGGTATATAAGTGTGGGAACCTTTTTTGAGTTAATAATTACATACATGCAATTCATTGGGAAAAATAATTATAATTTTACATATTAACTTTCATTCATACATATGTACCTACAGCACTTAACGCTGGGGAATAAAATGCTACTACTAAACCCATGATGCAATAATGAAAGGTGTTATACGTTGGCAACTTCTCGCTCTAATCCGCCATCTTGAACTACCTTAGGAGAAACTGTGTTGTTTCCTTGTTAATTTCACTGAACATTACCCAAAATATTAGAAAAAAATTCTAAACAAGCTACATTGATTCAGTTTTCGTTGTTCGTTTTGTTCTTATTCGCTGACATTTGTTTTCTAATTGCTTGAAATTTGGTAAGTATTGTAATAAAACCGAATTATTTTACAAATTAATTATAATTTTGCATTTATTAGGTAATTTCCTTAGTGTTTTCCTGGCCGACCTGTGCTGGTATTGTAATTAAGAGCTAATACACGTAAGTTACAACATATTATTTTGACTTCATTGATGAACCATTCCATTGCAGCATTCTCTGCAGCTGCGGCCGAATTTGATTGTGTGCATCATCCTGCAGATATTTTGAAGTAAGTTGGAACCAGCTCTTTGTTATTTCAAAACCTAATGAACCATTTATTCGCAGATTTTGTGGACGCTTCTGCTGTGCTGCGTTCCTGCTCCGCCCGTGTTTTATAGTGTTGCGTCCCTCTTGCGCCTTTGCATTAGTGTGTGCCAAGGTACATTTAACAGGTAGTATCAGTAGAGCAGCTGATTTCATTTATTTTCAAATTATTTGGTCTCGAAAATGTCAAATATTTTTAATTTTTTCTCCCAAAAATTCTGAATTGTTAAAATCCATTTGCATGTGAAACCTTTTTCCATATAAAACAAGCGATTGAATAGCAGCTTTTGGAACGTTCGACCAACTCAGCAGCACAACCGCTGATTACTGGCCCTTGTAAAGGATGGATCAATGCTTCGAGAAGCAAACAAATTTACTAGGAAAGAAGGTTACAACAATTTTTATTTTTTCCAATTTCATTTTTTTATTATTTCTGTATTTCACATGGCACCCTTTGATTTAGAAGAAAAAATTCAGAACAGTTGTTGACACTTTCGATATCAGAAGCAACAACAAAATACACGCAAATGTTGTTTTTGCTCTACTGATACTACCTGTTTAATGTGCCTTGGTGTGTGCGTTGTGCTTTAGACACGTTGAAATAAGTTGAAACCAGGTTTTTGTTTGTTAAAAACCTAAAGAGCCATTCATTTGCAGATTGTTTGTATGCTTCTGCTGTGCTGCGTTTCTGATTCACCCGTGTATTAGATTGCAGCGTTCCTGTTAATATAAACATCGTCGTTTAAGTACAAAACCGCGTAACTACATTTGCTGCTAAAAATTGGATTTGCTCACACAAGTTCTTGGCTCAATCCTTATCCATTCTTCCTGAAACATACTAGCCAAAAATGCGATCAGTGTTGCCGCGCCGTCTCAAGAAAATGTATCCCTGACCAAGCCAAAAATGTATCCAAATGTATCCAATTTTTTTTGTTACATATACATCTCATAATTTGTAAGAAAACCAAACATTTTCATGAAAAAGACATAATTTAACCCATCCTAAGGACTTGGAATACATGTGCATAAAATCAAGCATTTGTAATTTCAAGTTATAAAGTACATTTTTTGTGCATAAGTATTTTGCAAAGCAAATATAATAAGTAGCAAGTACACTCTAAAAAGAGTATGTAAAACTACTACTGAAAAGTATCTATTTTTCAACAAGAATCTGTATAAATATACGTATAAGATGTTCAGTATTTGATTTTGAACTTGGGATCTTTAAAATATACACATAAATACACATATATAGAATGTTTAAAATTGCAAAAATTTTCAAACTACAAATACATTTGAGTAGTCTACTTGCAAAGTGCGCTGTGTCAAATTTTTTCGATTCTTAGTTTTTGGCGGATTACGTACCAGTATTTAAAGTAGTTTCATGTCCACTAACAACAGAGTGCAAAATCTTTTTATATTCTGAAAAAAAATAGCATCAAATGTTAAGTCTTCTTCCAAAAGTCGCTAGCATACTTATTTATGAACTTTCAAAAGTATCAATCTTCTGATGAACTTAGAAATTGCTTTAGGTCGTATAGACTGTTAATGTTATCTTATGACATGTTATGCTATTTTACAATTTTATAAGGCTCCTATTTATCCAGATTTTCAGGTAATAATAAAAAAGATTCAATTTAAATGTTACTTGTTGTCGTAGTCACTTTTTCAAATTTATGGCTTTCTATTATAAAATCACATAACGCTGTTTGCAAGTGGACTACTCATTTCCTACTAATAATAAACATTACTTTATTTAAACATTTTATGTGTAATTTTGCTCTTGCGACAAATTTGGTATGTAAGAGTAAACAGGCAATGATTAATTTTATTACACGGCGTGCGAATTTCCACACATTAAAAGAGGAAACTGGTTACCTCTCTTAATATGCGCAAATAAATACAAATTTTTTAATGTATTTAAAGTCTTTTCAGTAAAATTCATAAAAGTCTCTTTAAATAAATCAAATTTAGTTTTTTGAACTGCATTGAAATCTTCTTTCTTTTTAAATTAACAAATTAAAATATGTGATATGAAAGATATTACTACAGAAAGAGTATAATTTACTTTATATATGTATATCGTCGTTTAAAGTACAAAACCGCGTATCGTCATTGTGCAAAACCGCGTAACTGACATTTGCTGCCAAAAATTGGATTAGCTCACACAAGCTCAATCCTTATCCATTCGTCCTGAAATATACTAGCCAGAAATGCGATTGCTTTATAAAAAAGAGAACCATTTTGAAATATGAGTGTTTTTACTCTCTAGAAAATAATTTATGCAACGTCACATACGCGGTTTTGCATTTTGTTGATACGCGGTTTTGTACTTTAAACGACGATATGTATATTAAGATCTTGCTTAAAGCATCCTTTTAAGCTAATTAAAGCAATTGCGCTTATACCTATTTTGGTGAGATCTCTTCATATGTTCATTGCTTCGTTCACAAAAAATAAAATGCTTTAATTTCACGCTTAATAGCGATTCTTTATATGCTCAGAAAACGTAATGCTTTTTACCATCTGTAATGAAAATCGATTTTTGAACGAAAAAAACTTTATAGGAAATATAAAATTTTGGCCTATTTAAAAAAGTATCCACATTTATACTGACCGGAAAAAATAAGTATCCCGCAAAAATTCGATTAAAAATGTATCCAATTGGATCTATTTAGATCCAAACGGCATCCCTGAATGCGATTGCTTTTAAAAAAAAGATAACCATTTTGAAATATGAGTGTTTTCACTCTCTAGAAAATAATTTATGCAACCTCGCTGGGATTGCATTATCTTGATACGCGGTTTTGCATTTTATTGATACACGGTTTTGTACTTTAAACGACGATATGTAGATGTATGTACATATATATCACATATATTGACTTAGATATGTATAGACAATTAATGTGTATATAATTTTTTTATGTTGAAACTAGATATGTATATAGTATGTTATTATTATTATTCGGTTCAAAAAAGTCCTATCTCCATATATGTAATACTTCTATATTGGCAGCAAGCTAACTTCTCAATGTGTAAGCATTCCGAAATCAAAGCGAGACAGTCTAGTACCGCTTTTGTCAATGTATTGTGTACTTGAGTGCCGTTTTTGTATATGTGTTGTGTACATGTTTATTTATAAACGTATGTGTTCCTTTTATTTCGCACGTGTTTATTGATATATCTGTACTGTAGTGTTTTCGGACGGTACTAGCTAGCTCTTACTGCCAATATAGGAGTATTACATATATGCCTATCTCAAATGAAAATACTTTGAAAATGTGCTCAGATAGGGCGTTTTTGGATCGCCAGCTGAGATAGGGTGTTTTTGAACCGAGTTCTGAGATAGGGCATTTTTCAATCAAATTCTAAAATAGGACGTTTTCCAGCCAAATTTTGAAATAGGGCGTTGAAAAGTTTTCTGATATCGAGTGTTTTCGACCTGGCTGCCGAGATAGGTCGATATTCCACTCAGCCATCGATAAATAGTCGCATTTATCGGTATATGGAAGACGATTAAACACGATTTGTTTTTATATCGATTCTAAAAAATCAACGGTAATTTTTAGCCACTTCAAACTTGCATATTATAAGACTAAAATTGAAGGGGCTATAAAACTGAGTGGTCAAAAAAATTCTAAGGCTTCTGAGAAAAAAATGTGAATTTTTGAGTGAAAATTTGTTGTATTTTTTGTAGTTTTCTACGAAGTTTTAAAATTGGGTTTATATGGGTTTTGTTAGAAATTGAACTTTATTTTTATTGTAAATTCTTAGAAATAAATTAACATGAGAGGGAAATAATATCACTTTGAAATAGGGTTGCTATTGATATGACCGATACTGTATGTATATAATAAATTTTGTACAATTAAAAATCAAAGTGGATTTACTAAAATGAACGCAACGTATTAATTATAAATTCTGAAATATATTGTTAATTTC